GGTAACCACCACGGTTGGATCACAAATAGGACAGAGGTACTCAAACAAACGATTTTTGTACAAAGTCTCCCTTTAGTAAAGTTTCTCAATTTTTATGAAAACTAAATAGTTTTCATTTCAATTAAGTTCATAACTTGATAATAATGATACATTTATATTACTGATGTTATAAAAGTTACATATTTATGTATTTACATTTACAGAAAAATCTCTCCCACACATTAATCTACTAAGCTCTTTTAAAAACTCTGTCTTCATGCTGTTTTTGTTAACCGTATAAACTTCATACGATACAAATGTTAAGCAAATTCTGAATTAAAATTTAGAGTAATTAATACTTTATTGTTCCTATTTATTTAAAGTCAAAATTGATACAGAAAATGCACTTAAAATTGTGGTATTTATTTAAATAATATCTGTGGCTAATTTCTTCTTTGCATTCTTATAGTACATACTTATAATGGTTATGGTACATATATACTTATTATGGTTAAGTCTATGGAAGACTTATGTTTAGTAGTATGACTAAAAATGATGATGTCTTGAAATGATGCATGTTGATAATTTATTTAATTAAATTTCAATCCATCAATATAAAAGTTAAATCTAAATGAATACTGCTCTAAATGTCATACATTTTATGAATGTGACATTTATCATAATATATTCTTATATATCTTTTTATTTTTTATCAAATATTTCGGCGTTGTTAAAAATTTTAAGCTCCCACAAGTGGCAAACCAAACTATTTATAGATACGTTTTCGTGACTCACGTCAAGGAAGGAGTTAGATGGCACACGTAACATATCTATCAATGGATTCATTTGCCACTTCTCTAGGAGGGCTGGTCATGGGTCAACTCTTGATAGACAGATTTGTTTGCTTATAAATGTTAGATCTACCGCCGTCATCAGCCGACCCGTGACCGCAGAGCAACTAGTGGGAAATATACAATGATTTACATTACGATTGCATTCATGTTTAAGTACGTTGATAAGTTTGTGTGGTAATCTAAGTTTCCGAAATTATCCGCTAGAGGCGCTGCTGAAATTTTAATATAAATTATTCATGTAAATTGTTCTCTAAACGAAACATATTATTTATATAATTAAATTCACAGGAGGTTTGTTATAGCGTTAAACTAATATAAGTTTATGAGAATATAACTAAGATAAATTAATATCTCGTTTATAAAATGTGCACAGTCAGTAAATTAATTCCTTTTAAGCAGTACGAATGAATTTAGCAAGTTTCTTCAAAAAAATTTGCAATTTGTCATGACTAAAGGTGACGGTTACCACTTTCCATCGGACGGATTGTCAGCTTGTTTACCATTCCAAGTTCATATCACTACACTCATGTTACGAATTCTTATGGAATAGCGCGATTGGGTAACAAATATCGAGAATATAATTATTGACAAACTTTCACATCTCATATAAGTAAACATTGGGTAAGAATTACTAAGAACAAAAAATAAATATTGATAAAAAAAATATTTTTATCAATATTTTTTTCGTTTATTTCATTAGATTTTTTTTTTTATTAAAGTGTATATAAAATGTACTCACTACTATACATTCTTATTCTTTCTTTTCTTATTTTTAAAAATGCTTAGAATAACTATTTTAATCTCGAATAGAAAAAGAAATATGTAATTATAGCCTGTTTCAATAGACCTTAATAATATATATACAAATAAATAATTGACCGGACCATAAGACAGGCCACTGATATCTAAAACGAAAATCGATAAATTTTATTTTAAACTTAATTGAATATTTCGATTTACTGTTAATTTTATTTAGAGAATAAATTTGCAGTAATTTAAATCAAACTTTGGTTACATTTGCGTTAAATACTATTGAAATAAACTATAATACTTTTGTTGTAAATAGCAGGATGCAGTAATAAAACATATATGTATTTGTGATATAAAATAATAAGTTTAGTTAAAAAAAAAAACAAGACATGTCTTATAAAAATCTGACACAGAACAAACTTAAAAATAATACATTGTTCTAAAAAACCTCAGTGTCAACAGCCAGTATTAAAACTCGAACAACTTTTGTTTACATGTATATTTTTGGCACTTAGTGGAACTTATACATTTATGTAGAAATTATACACTAAGACACTGGCAATTTAGCACAATATATGGAAGAGTATTGACAATAACGTTAATATGAATTATTAAATTATTCTGGTCAATATAAAATTACTATATAAAAACACACTCGACATAACTAATCTAACTAATCCAACTTATATTTATTGGTATTGAACTTGTTATTAACTGCATACGTTAACCTGGTCGCCTGCTGCGTAGCAGTATCGATTAAAAATGAATAAACTAAACAAGTATTACAGGATTAATCTAGATTACCATATGAACACGAGTTTACGAGTGTTTATAAAGTAAACGTTTAATAATATACGTAAATATAATGACGTACCATAAATTTAAAAAGGTTTAAAGTCGGATTGATTCAAATAATAATTGTATGAATAATGGACATAATAATGTAAGGCAGATTATCACAGTTAATGACTCATGCATATCGTTCCATCTCATTTGGTGATATATGCTCAAATGAGGTGAAACGAATGATTCTTACTAATATTATAAATGTGAAATGAATTTGTTCGTTTTTTACCTTTCAGTGTCTTGACGGAATAAATAATTGTTATGAACTTAAATTGTAAATTAAATTATATACAAATAGTACTCGTATATGGGATTAAGAAGAAAATATTTTAATACTATTCTAATAATTAATTAATTAATATATAAAAAAAAAAATAACTATTCTATTAATTAAATAATTAAAAAAACCCAGTTGTTTTGATCCAAAAATTAAACTACTAAACCGATCTAACATAACCTTCAAGAAAAGAGTATATTCCTTTTTAAAAGGCCGGCAGCATATCTGCAATGCCGCTGGTGTTGTGGGTAATCATGGGCGGCGGTAGTCACTTACCATCAGGTGAGCCGCATGCTCGTTTGCCTCCTGCGATGTACAAAAAAAATCTTGATAAAATTTCTATGGTACTAGTCTAGATCTAATTGGTTAAGAACTGATGGAGTTATGAGGTAATTAAAATAAATAAATACAACCGAATTGAGTGCCTCCTTCTTTTTAAAGTTGGTCGAAAATACTGTAAATATAATGCAATATATTTGTCGATTGTACAATAAAATAATAAAAAGCAAGTAAACAGATGAAATCTCTCAATTTAAATTTCCTTGATATTTTGAGATATGCTCGTTTGGAATAGTGTATTACCATTTTCGCAATTTGTACCAGCCCTCGGATATAGCTTTACATTGTGACAGGTTTGAGATTATCAATGTAAAGCGCGGGTCCCGTTGATTCTGCGATGTACCTAACGAATCCCTTGTTAGACTTGCCACTTTATAAGGCATTTGATAACGGGCATACGATTATTTTGGATTCGTTATTGGGATATTCTTGTAATTTTTCCTATACGACCTTGGTGGTGTGATGGTTTAATAAACAGCCTTACTTTCCGATGGTTGCAGGTTCAATCCTATTCAAGACATGTTTTTTATATTTAAAAATTTTATCATTTCATATATATTATTATTTTTGTATCAGATTCTTTTAACTATAATTCCTTAAACATGTTCTACGAGCTGAAGACGACAAAAGTAGTTGCAATATCTAATTTGGATAACTATCAAATCTTTGCATAAAACGATAATAAAGAATTAAGATTTTTGAATTAATATTAAATTTCAAAAATAAATTTAAGTTTACTATTTGTTATGTTGAATTCACTTAACTCGAAATGATACGATTAATCGAATGTTATTAACAAAGTAGTATATATATATATATATATATATATATATATATATATATATATATATATATATATATATATATATATATAATCATAAATTAAGTAGATGTACTATAAGTATTAGACAACACATAGATATACATATTTTTTGTAAATACCTATTTAAATTAATTTTTATTATGTCTGCTTGATGTGATCTCTCGCATAGATAAAGACCCGAGTATAAATCATATTACAGAATATACTATTATTAGATCAATATCTATTCATTACATGTATTTTATTTTCAGATTTATTAATTGATATCTATTATCAAATTATAAATTTAATCACATAATCTATTATGAAGCGTTTAACCGTGAAACCTGTGTAGTGTGCTCTGCCACTTATACGTCGTAACTGTATCAAATAGATCAGATCAGATATTCTCTTCAGAGTAAATGATGTAATTCCTTTTGCCAGTATCATAATAGACAGGTTTGTTTTTAGTACCATACTTCGAGTTGCATTCTCTTTATAGGAACCATCACTGGACCAAGGCCAATTAAGAAATGGCAATTAATTTCTAGGAAACGTATAAAGTTCTGTGTTTACTCACTTTTATTGGATTTGAAACTTTAAAATTTATTAAATAAAAGTCGTAATTTGTTGTAATTACAGTAAGATAGATTGGTTACAAAATTATTCCTTTATTTTCAATATCTCTATATCATTATTTCTCAATTATGTTATTTCACGACCTACGAAAAAGCCAAAAAGTTAAATAAAGAGTTTTACGCCCCCGACACTATAAAATTATAATATAATAATATTTTTATTAAGAGTATTTTATCTGCACCCCTTCAAGCGGGTGCAAGGCGTCATGTTATAGATAAATAAAAAACAATTATTGAATATATGTAAGTGTATCACTTCAGAACGGCTTTACCTAATTCAGTAATTTTTTAATTGTTTGTAATTGTCAGGAGAGGTTTGTATGAAAGAAAATGTCAAAAAATAACAGTTTATCCGCACGATGTTTGAAACATGTTCGGCGCGGGGTACGCATTTAGTAGTTAATAAAGGAACTCACAAAAATAAACATAAAAATATTTTATTTCAAACATCTGAATTGAGTCGACACAATTTCATAACTATAATATCTAATTATATTGTTCTCTCTTGTTTCTAGATACATCAAGTATATTCGCTGCGAGATTGCAGAACATCCATCAGAAACTCGCTTTACGGTGAGTAAAAAAAACAGTGCTAGCACGCGTACAGACATCCGAAGAGATGCTCAGTTATTATTGCGCGGAATGTCTATAATATTCCGTTATATCGTCAACTTCGGAATCTTATAAATAATTCTTTAAATATTAAAAAACAAACATCCGCATCTGTGGATATGGCAGTCTATACCCCCCCCCCCCCATAGACTAAGGGGGGGGCTAAATTCAGTAGTGTACAGATAATGTATGAGATAATAATAATGATTATCCACATACATATATCTGCTTCTTCACTTACTTCTTTAAAACCAGAAGATATTTTTTACATATTTTTGTTTTGTATATTCTTGCAAAGTAAAGGCAGGTTGTTAGTTTATTTATTTACTCATTTAATTTAGAACGACGAACAAGTTAACGGCCCATCTGAATAATTAGTATTATAAATATGAATGTGAGATTGTTCGTTACCGCTTGGCGTTTTAATAACTAATGTTGGTACATCCAATTACTTTATACAGGTCATTATCTGTTTCGCCCATGATACCCCCCATGCGTTGCCATTCGTGAGGACTCAAAAAAAAATGAAGTTCAAAAAGAAGAAGTTTCTTAATTTTGTTTTACGTTTTTTTTTAATGTTTGTTATCTCATAACTCTGTTAATTTTAAACTAGTCGGGATTTTTTTTTTATTTGAAAGGATGTACTTACAGATTAGTCATATACTAACTTAATCAAAGTTAGTTCCGTAGTTTTTTTTTTTTATACAACTTAGAATGGCAAACAAGTTGACGGCCTACCTGATGGAAAAGGGTAACCGTCGCCTATAGACATGAGTAGTACCATGGACATAACAGAGTATACTGTTTCGCCCATGATACCCCCCATGCATTGCCATTCCTGAGGACTCAGGTGTTATTCCTCTGTATCCAGTAAATTCACATCATATAACCCTTCAAACCGAAACACAGCCATGCAAACATAACTGCTTCACGGTAGAAACACGAATGGGACAGAGGTATCCAAGCAATCGACTTTTGTACAAAGTCTCCCTCTGGTAAACCTTAAAGTCAGATCTGGTAAAAGTTAATTTTTTAAATCAAAATAACTAGTTTTACAGCAATTTAAGTTGGTTTTGTTATGTGGAACACAATTTAATTTTTATCCCGGACAGACGAAGTTGTATCTAAAAACTAGCGGATAGATAATTTAGTAGGAAGACATTCAAACTAGGCGATAGTGTTAAGAGTCGGCACTGCAAGTAATTCGAGCATGATGCCTCGCGAATTGAAAGATTATAACGAACCGGCTACCGTGGGCCGTAAAGGTGGTTACACACGATCGCATCTGCTATTACACCGGCCGTTAGAAATTATAGGCAAGGGGATTTTGACGCGCCATACTAGCCGCGGGCTAAGCGATCCTGTGGGATATTTATCTGCTATTGGCATTCTCCGTTGATGTCTTCAGTTTGGTCTGGAATGAGCTTTGGATTAACAACTTTTTTGTACTTCTTTATTCCAGTAATATGTATAATAGTCAACGTTTTACATGCATATTCCATTATTATGGTGGTACCAATCCATTAACATTAATTTTAATACTAGTTTAGTAGTACTGGGTTTTAATCTATTGCTATAAAGACTTGAAGGATATCTTTGGCGTATATTTTTGTTCATCAAAATATAAGTGACAGCGTAAATAAGCGGCTTACAGTGTCCCTCGTCTGTGCCGGAATTAAAAAGAGCATATTTTAGTTTTTTTTTTTTGTTTATTACAATATTTTCTTCAAACTTGTAATGTAATTGTATTTCAATAATATTAAAAATGTAACAGTTTTGTGTACGTTTAAAATTGGAGTGTTTGTTACTCAATCATTGTTAATTACGATCGAAATTTCAATTAAAATTAGTACACAGATCCACTATTAACTTTTAGACGTCTAAAAGTTAATCGATACATGATTTAGGACAGCAATTAACTTTATTATTTAAGAAAACGTCGCTTATGTATAAACCACAGTTTGACAAACAAGGTATTTTCAGCCAACTTGAAAAAAGAAGGAGCTTCTCGATTGTTTTATTGTATTTATTATCTCAAAACTCCGTCATTTACAAACTTAATCGGAAAATTTAGTTTTTTTTTTTATCTGAAAGGATATACTTTTAGATTGATCTCATAGAAATATCTTCAAAATCGGTTTCAGTAGTTCGATTGTAAGTCAAAATAACTGGTTTTTATGTTGGTTGTGTTGATTTATTTTAGTGTTTTTTTTTTATGGAACAAAATTTACTTGTTTATAAAATATATTTTCAAATAATTGTGTATATGATAGTTTAAATACCATTTATATTTTTTATGAGAATAACGACTCTGTACAGGCAAATGCAGTGTAGGACGATCACTAGATAAAACGATGACCTCAAATGTATTGAAAGGAATCAATGAATGCAGGTAGCTCGGGACCTTAACTGTCCACTGTCTCTGTTCAGCAGTGGACAGTTAACGGTTGATTTAATGACGATGGTCATTTTTAAGCGATTTCAAGAAACAAGAAATTTCTCAAATTGTCTATATTTTTGGTTTGTATTTATGTTATTTTGTTTGTTTGTGTGATATTTTCGTTAATTCTGAGATAAATATATGTTTTGTTTTTTTTTATTTTATTACCTATTGATACTTAATAATGTATACAATAGCGAGGATTAGATGGATGGAAGTGACTTTTGAGGTAACCACTTTATCGTGGGCGGTCACCTCACGCGTCCATGCACTAGGCTATCGCTCGTTACCTTCCTTCCCCATTTGCTATCGGTTACTCGTATTCTTAATGAATAAAATAAATAAATATTTCGATTATAAAAAATAAGGTTATAGTGGAAACTGGTCTTTAGACAGGTGCAACGCTACGCTTTTAAGTTTAGCCAAGATCGAGTTGCGATGTGGTCGCTGTGACCGCTACTCGCATTTTGCACTCAGATGACGCATGGGCGTCTTGTATGGTTAGCAAAAACGTTATCTCATTAATTTTATGACTTGTTTAATAGAAGTTGGATTAGTAAAGATAATGTGACTTATATAATAAGTATAATAAGAAGGAAGACGGGGGAGAGGGAGACCGAGTCATAGTTACATCAGGCAGATCAAGGAAGGAGTTGGTGTCGTGTCGTATCAAGAGGTGAAGAGACTCGCTGATAATCGTAGTGAGTGGCAAGAGCTCCACCGACAAGAGCGCAGCTCTTAAATAGATATATAGATAGATAATAAGTGTCCAACTAATCTTACTAAACCTACTACTATTATAAACGTGAAAGTTTCTAAGGATCTCATTTTCATATCAGCCATTACTGTCCACTCCTGAACAATAGAACTCCACCTTGGCAGGTTTTGCCAGTAGTTGTAACGCTTGGCAGACAGGTTGGCTACACTTGCTTGGGTACACTTGCTTGACTTTCGTGATGTTTTAAAAGGAACGCTGCTGCCCATCCCTCGACTATTATTTCTGAAGGCTTATTTATTTATAAAAGGAAAACTCGATATAAAACCCTTTACTAAACCTTCTAAGTAGCATTGTATAAGTACCTGGGCAGTATTGTATTAGAATCTGTTTCAATAGAACTTAATAAAAATATCAACAAAAAAATAATAATTAACACGACCATAAGACAGTTACTTAAAGTTTAGTAATGAATGAAAATAGATCGCTAGATTAACGCTTGCCATGAAATGAAATTCCGAGTTTTCGAACTCAATTTCGTGTTTTTGTTCATACCAAAATTGGCCCAGTAAATGGGGCTTAACATTTCATTCGTAATAAATCCTAACATAAAAATCCAAAGGAATGATATTGTAACATTTTCAATATTTTTAAACGGTATGTATTATGTAATTTTAACATAAAATTTTTGTTTCGTTCGGTCCTGAAATTACGGAAGATATTTTATGGTAGGCCCTCTTTTCAATAGCTACAATAGATTTATAAGAGGTTTGACGTGTTTTTGATTATGAGGGTAAATATTTTATTATTTATTTATGATTTATTACTAATTTCATTTATACTAGGTATCAGTCATAATTTCAAGATATTCTTTTCACTGAGTTTTTTTCAAACAGACTATAGAAAATCTATTTTCTAATGACAGTAGCCAATGCCCAGCATTGGGATGTTAATAGGATGTTATAATGGTAACTGTACTTATATCGCGTACTCCGTAGACGTAACTTAAGTACGTCATGTTAGCGTTCGATAAACCGGTTCGATAGATAATGATCACGCAGTTCACTCATTTGTCAGTGCACTCGGCAACAGCGGCAGTCAACGATTTTGTTTTGTAATCGATTATCAATCGGATAAATATCGCATCTATTTATTTGAAGACGATTCCTCTGATAATGATCGTTGGTATGAAATATTTAGTAACTAACTAAGTAAGTACTGCGGCTTGTGAAATATGTAATAGCTATGTCGTATGTGAATTAAGATAAAAATCTTAATATCCTGTATTAATTATTTAAATTATTATTAATATTAATTTGTTCACTTTGTTATATCAACCGTTAACTGTCCACTGCTGAACATAGCTTCCTTTATAAGGTGAGTTTTGCCAAAATTGCTGCGCTTGACAGGCGTGTTGGCGACCACAGTTAGGCTATCGGTGATGTTTCCTTTCACCATTAGTTCCCTTAGTTGCCTCTTACGACACCCACAGAAAAGGAACGCCTCCCTATTCTATTCTATTCTATTCCTGTACCTACACGGCTTGTTTTTGTTATCTTTACTCCCTCCCAAAGTCTCTATCTTTCTTCTTTGATACTTTATTCCATATTGTAGGTTAGGGATAGCATTAAAAAGAGCCTTCTCGAGGAGGGTTGACGTCAGGCAGGCGACCGATTAAAAGACTAGAAAGCAAAACCTTGAGTAAAATAAACAGAAACATTAATATGCCTGACCCCGATGAATTTATATGATTTTATATAATTGGGATAAGGATAGAAATATGTTGATAATGTTGATTCATTTGTTTATTGAACTAGCGGCCAATTGCTGATTATATACCCTGTTAGGTGGGAGACTTTACACTGTCAGATTCTCTCTCGTGATTAATTCCTATCATGATTAATTCCTAATTAATTTGTCACGATGTGCGACTCCCAGAGATAAATTCATCTTTACCTATCATCTTTCACTAAGTCATAGCATAAACAAGTAACTTAGCTAGGATTAACAGTCTATTTCCACTCATTAAAAAACTTTTCTTTAAATTAAGCGTAAATAAACAACTAAACATCATGTTTTTATAAATTTTTATATTTATAATAATAGTAAGACGTTATCTCTATCAATTGTAAAACAAATAATGAAAATAGATTTAAAACTGATTAAAATATGACGTAACATACATATAAAATATAAAAACATGCAAATTTAGAGTCATCTCTTTTTTTGCCATTTAAAAAACAACAATAAAAAATTGTTCAGGAAATTGTCGAGAGTCCGTTACAAAAAAAAAAAAAAAACACGAAGGTGATTCTAAAAAAAAATAATTCAAATTGATACGGAATGTGAAATAAAAATCCATTAGCTGTCCAACCTCAGTAAGTACTCAGCTTAATGTTGTTTTAATTACGCGTTTTGCGTGTTGATAAAATCTAAAGAGAAATTAAGACTGAGATGTATTTACCGCCATATCTTTTTTATCTCCCGCAAATTGGCCCGGAGATTTAGTGTAATTGCTAAACAAACAAATAGAACTTATCATTCATCTAAAAGCGAAGATTTACTTCTTTATTTGTTTTATCTTTCAGCTTGGCAAATCTAACACTTTTTAAATTAATAAACTATGTAGATACCGACAGATAAGAGAATAAATAAACATAGTGACATACAAGCTTATTAAAAACAAGTATAGGTGTTTCTCTTATGTTATGTTTTTGTTATGATATTAGCAAAATTTACTACCAATTTATACCGACGGGGGCGCCATTGTGTTGCAATGTAAATAAACTCTATCTCTGTGGTGAATAGATGGGAAAATAAACTATTGAAAGCTTTATTTTGCCACAACTTTAACTTTTAGCTACAACAGAATATCAGTGTTTTGCTCTTTTGAGGGCAAAGCAAGAAACAGAGTTGTGACCATTTTGTGTTACTGTGATACAATTATGAAATGAAAAATTATGTTACTTCTTTTATGTATTTTTTTTTTGCATATATATCTATATCAGTTGTTTTGTGTGCTATAAATAATGTGAATAAATTATATATCTACATATCTATTTATTTTTTTAGAATTACGTAATTTTGTTTTAAAGTAATTTGTCTGTATACTTCGAATGACTATTTACTGTTATTCAGGTTAGAAAAGGGTGGCGCCATCACCGCAGAGCTACGTATATTCTTATTATATTATTTGTTGTAGTTTCATGCTATTCATATAGATGAGTATAAAGTATTAAAATCCGTGGACTTACTAAAAAAATTATACAATTGAACATTAACACCTCATCCTTTTTTGAAGTCGGTTAATAAGACAATAATTAGCAACCAATAATAAGGTATTTTAGTATTATGTGATATCACACCAGTATGAATATGTAGTAATAATGTCTAAAATCTATATATTCCCTTCTGTCAAGACAAACCACATTAATATTTTAGTATTAAAAAACAGAACACTATCAATATTTGTTTATCTCGGATTCGTACATATATTTTATAATTGGCAAAAATATCGCGTGAAATGTCCTTTCCTCTTTGAGACTGATTGATATGTATAAATTATATTATGGAAATTGGCAAAAAAAATTGAAATGTAACTTATCGTTCATCTCTGTACTGACATTTCGATCTTAATTAAGTTGTTTTACTAAAATAGGCGTTGTGATTTTTAAAAGAGAAATTTATATGTACTTATAATATCATAATTTCATAATTTATTAATTTTTCTTATCTTTATTTTCACTGATAATGAATATAAAATAACAAATAAAAAAAAGTTAATACGTTCCAGAGACCATTTAAATTTGTCACTTATTATTTTTTAATTGAGAAATCATATTTTGCATATTAAAAAGTATTATGCTTTTGTGAAAGTTTGTCAAAATATTGGATTGAATTGGATACACATATGTTACTTTATCTTTTGCGTTGGAATGTTTAGTAAAGAGATCTGCGCAATAAAGTTAGTAATAAAATAATTAAGAAACAGCTACGAAAGTATTAATACTCATTATTACAAAAGAGTAGCTGTAAGTATAAATTTATGTAAATTTATAACAGATCAGTCTCCCAACTTGTAAAGAAGTCTATTTATACTGTGGCCTTTAAAATTAAGTTATGTGGGAAGAGATAGATATAGTAAATCTATCTCTTCCCGCATAACTTAATTTTGAATTTTAAATAACAGTCCGTAATTCTTTATATTTCTTGTCGTGAAATGTACTATATCTGTATTTGGTTGTAAAATAATATTTTTTACCATAGAATAAAGACATCTCAACTGAAGTAGTTTTGTCTAAATTTTGCAGTGGCGACTAGTCTCCACTTCCCGCTTTTTCATCCAGGTATACAAGCAGAATTTAAAATAGTCTGCGGTTACTTTTGTTCATCCATCAAGTTATTTCTTCAGACTTTTAATGTTATATTTATTTGCCACCATATTTGGTAAAGCTGCAGATAGTATTTGAGGGAAGGAAATATTTTACTATTGTAAAAAATAGCCTATGTTGAAATATATTCAGTCTCTCAAATATATACTATAATATATTTACGTTCAAAACAAGAAGCTATGACTCTAATATAACGAAGTCATAAAAAATTCAAACTGGTAAAGAGAGTAGCATTCTTCTAAAGAGCTATAAGTTACTACGTTATTTATAAGTCAATGTTGCACTTGCGCTGAAAAATGATACCATGCAATGACCCCAGAGCATGAACACAATAAAATAAATGAAAAGTCATTGTGATGTTTAATTATTTACAAGCTGATGCTAGCGACTTTGTCTGTGGTTATTTCTGTTTAGTATGTATCGATGTATGTACTTACCTATTTATTATGTCTAGAAAAACTAGACCAAAATTAACAAATGACGTCTCGTTTTCACTCTTTGCCTTATGTCAAAATGATTTTACTTTAGGTTGTGTACTAAGCTGTAAAAGTCACTATAGTTTTTTAACTATCCCACGGGAACTCTTTAATTTTCCGTCATTAAAAGTATCTAAAATGTTGACCGAGGAAATAAGGTATAATAACAGTGCAAAATTTCATTTAAATCGGTCCAACAGTTTCAAAGATTAGCCCATACAAACAAACAAATAGACAGAGATACATAAAATAAAAAAAAATCTGGTTGTATTCTATTTAACTTCTAACATCCTCCTGACTCGGTTTTTAACGTGTTTTTTCTATGTACAGACATTTGACCTTTACAGTTTTATTATATGTATAGTGGATCGGTCTAAAATATCTATATTGATTACTACGATATAAGACCTAGCTACTTTATAATATATATTTTTTTAATTCATGTGGAAAAATTAAAAAAAAAAAACGTAAGAGCTAAAGTTTGAGTATAAATAGATAAGCGATGGGATAATGCGTAATTGTTTATTATAAATGTGACGCGCTTTCAATATTACTTGTAGAAAAATAATAATTTTCGAGTTAAAAACTTCTTATTCATGCTGGCAGAAATGATCATAAAAAGGCGACCGATTGCCATCAAGGAAATTAAAACAAAAAAAAAAACCATGTGATTGATTGTGTAGATTGCATATATAAGTTTTTTTTTTATTTGAAGTAAGACGGACCTTTTTCGGAGGGATACGCAAGGGAGTTGTACCTATACCTATAGTCCTATACATTGGTTATTGATGATGTATTTTTACATTTAATTTTTAAAACAGATTTAGAACCAGAGGGAGACTTTGTACAAAAGTCTTTTGCTTGGGCATCTCTGTCCCATTAGAGTTTCCACCGTGAAGCAGTTATGTTTGCATAGCTGTGTTTCCGTTTGAAGGGTGGGATATGGCAGTGAATTTACCGAGTACAGAGGAATAACACCTGAGTCCCCAAGAATGGCAAGTTATGAAAGGTATCATGGGCGAAACAGTATACTCTGTTATGTCCATGGTACTGCTCATGTCTATAGGCGACGGTTACCACTTACCATCAGGTGGACCGTCAACTTGTTTGCTATTCTATGTTGTATAAAACAAAAACAGATGTCTTATCATCATGGCATATTAGTCATTATCTGTCCACTGTATTTTATTCATTAAAACAATGATTGATATTTTGTAATCTTATTTATTATAAATCTGACAAGTTAAAACCTACTTCCTACTTCGATGTCCGCCACAGATTCATTCCTGATACCCAACCATAGATAAACAAAATACACAACATCTCCTATGTTGACATAAAGATAAACAAAATTTAAAGAAATGAACATGAATTTATATAAATGAGAAAATGCTTACATTCTATTCATTATAATTTAAAATTAACAATCAAGTTTAACAGGTGGTCGGACAACACGTCCAGACCTTGTTCTCATAGTGGGATTACCATCAACATTACAAGACAGTGATTTATTATTAACATTAAGAGTACCATTCGACTGGATTTGTGAGTTGTTAGAGACATCATTTACTGTATCATTTTGGCACTCAGATGGCAAGACTGTTACTGATGTGCTGTGATCAGGTTCTTGAACATAGCTTTGACTTGACCGAGACAATGTACCATTATGTGACTGTGTTGAATGATTTTGTTCTGACCCAGAAACCTGACTTGACATAGGAATAGGTAGACTAGAATATTTATTTGTTAACAAATTGGTTTCATCTGACAATTTTTTCTGTAAAGAAGTGAATGACCATTTTAAATTTTTATTTTGTTTCAGTATTTCATTATTATTTTTATTTAATCTTAAATGATAACGATTTCTCCTATATTGGGAGCCATCATTACACCTAATTAAGTATGATCTTGGACAATTATTTACTATGTCTATGACTATACCTGGCGACCAATTACTATTTGGAGTTTTCTTATACCATATGTGATCACCCTTATTCAATGGAGTTAATTCTCTTGTGCGTTTATCATAATATTTTTTATAGTTTTCTTTGTGCTTCCTTAATTTTTCTTCAATATCTTTGAATCTCACTGTTTTAGGTTTCAGTAATTTCATCTTTATTGGTAAATTATACCTCAACTTTCTTGACATTAGCATTTCCGCAGGAGACTTCATGTATTCTTTTGCATTAGAACGATAGTGCAAAAGTGCTAAATATGGATCTACATTCTCTTCATCTGACTTGCGTAAAATATTTTTTACAATCTTGACAGCTGACTCTACTTGTCCATTAGATTGTGGAAAATTAGGACTCGACGTACTATGACTTATATCCCAATTTGTACAAAATTCTTTAAATTCCATTGAATCAAATGGAGGTCCATTGTCTGTAAATAGTTTTAAGGGAATACCATGGCGAGCAAATATCGATTTAAAATGTAAAATGACATGTTTTGCTGAAGATCCAGTATTTAACAAAGCTAATTCTATATATTTTGAATAATAATCAATCACAACTAGATACTTTTTGTCTTTATATTGTAATAAATCTCCTCCAACTTTCTCCCATGGATATTTAGGTATTTCACTTACAATTAATGGTTCATGAGAATTATTATGTCTGAATTTTGAACAAATTTGACAATTTTCTATGACTTGCTCTATGTCTGTGTTCATATTGGGCCAAAAAATTACACCACGAACTAAGTTTTTACTTCTGCTTATACCCAAATGACCTGCATGAACTTTTTGTAACATTTCTTTACGGAGTGATGTAGGAATAATAAGACTAGTATTTTTAAATACTAGTCCATCAATAACATGTATTTCAGATCGATAATTCCAATATTGTCTAACACAAAGTTCTGTTTTATTTTTATGAATTGGCCAACCTTCTATAAAATATTTTAGTAACTTTTGTAGTGTAGAATCATTAAGAGTTTCTTTTTTATAAATTTGGAGTCTCTCTTCAGAAACTGAAAGAGAAGATATGAACATATTTGCATGTATTGCAATGTCATTATCTATACTATGTTCTTCAGACTCCAATAAAGCAGCTCTAGATAATGTGTCTGAAATGTATAATTTTGAACCTTGAACATATGTTACATTGAGATCATATACTTGTAGTGATAGCATCATTCTTTGAAGTCTATTGGGTACTTGACTTAGAGGTTTCTTAAAGAGAGTAATTAAAGGTTTGTGATCAGTCTCTACATTAATTTTTCTGCCATAGACATACTGATGAAATTTTTGACAACCGAACAATATTGCAAACAACTCCTTTTCTATTTGAGCATATCTTTTCTGACAGTCTGTAAGAGTTTTTGATGCATAGGCTATAGGTTTATTACATTGTAACAGAACTGCACCTAATGCTGATTGTGACGCATCTACACTTAAAGTTAGTGGTTTTGTATTATCATAATGACATAAGATAGGTGATTTTGTGATTAAATCTTTAAGTCTTTGAAAGGCTTTATTATGGTTTTCATCCCATAACCACATTGAGTCTTTTTTTAAAAGATTTCTAAATATCTCTGTCTCTGTAGAAAGATTTTTGATGTAGGTACCTAAAAAATTTATCATGCCTAGAAATCTTTGTAAACTTTTTTGACAATTTGGAGTAGGCATTTCACAAATGGCTTTGATTTTGTCATAATCAGGGCGCATACCTTCAGCACTAAATATTTGTCCTAAGAATTTTATTTCATTTTGTTGAAAGACACATTTCTCTTTTTGAAATTTAAGATTTATAGATTCTGCTCGATTGAATACTTTTTGTAAAGTTGCTACATGTGAGGCCTCATCAGTACTATAAACCAATATATCATCAATGTATATAATTACACCCGGTATGTCTGAGAATGCTTCTACAAGTGTTTTACTAAATATTTCAGTTGAACAATTAAGACCAAATGGTAATCTTTTGAATTTGTATCGACCTAGTGGCGTGTTAAAAGTGCAAAGGTCTGAACTCTCAGAATCAAGAGGTATCATCCAAAACCCAGCAAAAGCATCCAGGTGTGAAAATATTTTAGCCCCATGTAATTTTGATCTTATATCTTCAATAGTTGGCAAAGGAAAATGTGATCTTTGTATTGCCTCATTCAGGTTTCTAGGGTCTAAACAAATTCGAAGTTTATTATTAGATTTTTCTACAATAACAATAGAACTAACCCATTTAGTAGGTTTTGACACTTTCTCTATAACATTCAGTCTTGTCATCCTGTCCAGCTCTTCTTTCAATCTGTCTTGCAATGCAAATGGAATTCTACGTTGAGCATCAATCTTTGGTTGTACATCAGGTAAGACAGTCAAATGACACTCATAGGGTAAACAACCCAGGCCCTGAAAAAGGTTTTCATATTTAATTAATAAAGTTTTTAAATTATCAGGCTGACTAGTTAGGGAATTATTAAAAATCCTTTGAACAAGACCAATTTTTGTGCATGTTTCTGCCCCTAAGACTGACTGACATGAAATATCTACTATAATAAATTTTATTTTATACATTTTATCATTAATTAGGCATTCAATAACACAATATCCCTTTATTGGTATATTGACACCACCATATGCAAATAACTTTGAAAAGCAATATTTGATAATGTTACTTGACAAATTGAGTTTACAAAATGTTTCATATGACATACAATTAGCTTTTGCTCCTGTATCTATTAAAAATTTTAAGTTTACATTATTAATTTTGATACTGATTATCCAGTCATTATCCATATTTAATGAAGACACAGTTAAATTATTATTAAATGACAGAGTACCTATAAATGTATCAGACAATAAATTAGTAGAATTTGAATGATTACAACCTGAATTTAAAGATGAATCCATTTCATCATATTCAATGTTATTTATTGGTGTTCTACAAAGATTGTAATAATGACCAATCTTGTGACATCTTTTACATTTTACAGACTTAGCAGGACATTTAAATCTGTGATACTGTCCACATCTGGTACATTTTTTATTATTGTCAAAATTGGCTGTATTATTATTATTAAATGGTACAGCCTGCTGTTGTTTTAATCCATTTTGACTTGTAGAAAGCTGTTTAGAGTGAGAATGTGCTGTTGTTCTTGAACTGCGCAGAGTAGCTACAGGAATTTCTTGAGAGAGATATGATGTACTATTAAATGACAACTCAAGAGATTTATATATAGTCACTAATTTATATAAATCTACATCATTTTCAGTAAGCAATTTTTCTCTTATGTGATTATTTGTTTTATCCATGTTACATATGAACATGTCTCTAATTAAAGAATCTTTTAATTGTCCAAATTCACATACAGATGCCTGTTTTTTCAATTTTGTTAGAAAAGTGTCTAAGGAATCACTTTCTTGCTTCAACGTAAAAAATTTATGGCGTTCTATTGCCAAATTCTTTTTTGGAATAAAATAATCGTCAAAGGATTTCAAAACTAAGATATACGTTGACTTTTCTTTTTCACTGAATGAGTTATATATGTCCAGACATTGCTCACCCATAGAATGTAGTAGAATGGCAATTTTTCTTTCATCCGAGCATGTGTCGAACTGCATAGCTATCATGTAGTTATTGAATATTTGTTTCCACTTTTGCCAAGATTGGACGACATCGCCATCTTGGATGTTAAATGGTTTTAGTGAATTTATATTATGATCCATGACTCAATTTTGTTGCACAATTTGCTTTGGATATTTTAATTAACCGCTGCCACCATATTTTATTCATTAAAACAATGATTGATATTTTGTAATCTTATTTATTATAAATCTGACAAGTTAAAACCTACTTCCTACTTCGATGTCCGCCACAGATTCATTCCTGATACCCAACCATAGATAAACAAAATACACAACACACTGAACAGAGGTCTTCTCTATAGATTGCCATAAGGAACGGGATAATTCCTTATAGCAGCTTACCATTGGTAGGATTTTAACAGTAGTTACTAAGCTTGACAGGCGGATTGGCAACTGCAACCGCAGGCTTTTGGTGATGTTTCAAAATGAACACTGCTGCTCATCCCTCGATCATTAAGCTTCTTTTGTCGTCTCTTATGACATCCATAGGAAAGAAAGAGGTAGTCCATTCTATGCCAGAACCACATGGCAATCAGGCGTCTTGCTTTGGTCAAATAGTTTATAATAAAAATACCTGCCTATAGTTATATTTGCTGAATATAATTATTATAAATGTATTAATAATACTTAATAAATATGGAGGCTATAAAGAGCTCAAAACTTGCGAAATTTGACAGTCAGCTATTTGTGATTTTTATCAAATATAGCACTATTAGTTTTAACAATTTCTTTGATTATTTTTCTAGAAACTTATTCTTTATTATGATAATGTAGATTGAAAACCGGTACAAACTATTTCTAAACATTTTAAAAACCGTAAAATGGCTTCTTATTCTATTGACTTTATTTTCTTTTTGAGTTTATTTACTCAATAATAAAATGTTCATTAACACACTTCAATTGGCATTCAGAGAAAGGTTATACGAATTACATTTTATTTTTAGATTTAGAGCTTTCTATTCAATATTATTTCGTTTGCAAAATAGACGTGCAGAATTAAATTATGTAGTTTTTTATTCGCAGCTTCGCGCGATAAAATTACTGTAACGAATGAATAGAAAGATCTTCATGATTAATGAGGTTGTTTTTAATTAACTATATCTCTATTAACGTCAATTGTTCAATGAGATTGTAAAATACATCTCTATTTATTGAATCTGTAGCATCAACAGCAATATAACACCTCATCGTATATTTCTTATTTATTGAGGTGAAATTTGTTTTGTTTGAATCTTGAAGTGATGTAAAAATATTAAGATATATAGATGCAACAAGAAAGTCCAAAACTTAGTCTTAGTAACTATATTAGATTTAAAAGTAACCTTATAAACTGTGCAGTTATGTAATCAATTTAAAATCTTCCTATCCTTATTCCAATTAATATTTGGGATCGATGCAATATGTTTTTCTCTTCCATTCTTCTCTATTCGCAGTCATTTTGGCATTCACTCAATTTGGCCATTCTGGTCATATTATCGTGCATGTGATCGAATTAGCGGTGTCCTAAAATTATTTTAATATACATATAAAATTTTTTTTTGAGAGCATTATTTCAGTTCATGAATACATCACTGGTTTTTTGGATAGTCATACTCTTTCAGTGACTAATATTTATTATGGTTTCTCGTTACACAGTGTACCCTAGCTTGAGGTTCAAGCGATTAGTATGCGTGAGTGGCACTTATATTTGACAATAATAACAACTTTATTGCATAACAATGGTTGTAAAAAACTCAGCACTGAAAATAACACAAAAAGTCAGTTTAAACATCTGTGTCTGAATTAGGTTATTAAACTTGTATTTCAAACAATAGCGCTCAACCCTCATTAAAACACTGTAATAATAAATAATATTAGCTTAATAAATTTTTAGTGCAATATATTGAATGTTAACTTTATATAAAGTTAATTTATTTAGTTACAAATATGAGTACTAGAAGGAGACTTTATACAAAAGTCGATTGCTTGGATACCTCTGTCCCATTTGTGTTTCAACCGTAAAGCAGTTGTGTTTGCATGGCTGTGTTTTGGTTTGAAGGGTGGGATATGGCGTAAATTTACAGGGTACAGAGGAATAACACTTGAGTCTTTAGGAATGGCAACGCATGGGGGGTATCATGGGCGAAACAGTATACTGTATTATGTCCATGGTACTGCTCATGTCTATAGGCGACGGTTACCACTTTCCATCAGGTGGGCCGTCAACTTGTTTGCCATTCTAAGTAGTATATAAAAAAAAGAGTAGTAATGAAAATTTTGAAAAAAAATAATTTATAGCCTTTTTTGAATTTACAGAACTTGTACTTTTTAGCCATTATAGTTGTATATAATTGTAGCCGTGTGATCTCAGCATAAAATGGCAATCCCTTATTTTCCAGTTAGTGTCGTAAAAGGCGACTAAAGGATCTTAACGGTTGAAGGATAAGCAACAACGTCTCACTTGAAACATTACCAAAGCCTAACTGGGATTACCAGCCCGTCCGCCAAGCATGGAAACTACTGACAAAACGCCTCCAAAGAGGAGTCCTATGTTAAATAGTGGAAAGTTAATAGCTGATATGAATATGACTCGAAGTTTTTAGTAATAACTAATAAATAACAATGATACTCGGATTATTTATTCAATCAACTATTTTATGATGTAACACGGTATGCATAGGCACAGAATATACGTGGAATTATTGGATGACAGGTACTCAAGGTGTGAGTGGTAATATGTATGGGCACATTAGGTATTTCTTTCTAATCTTCTTTATTATATTTTCCTACATCTTTTCCTGAGAATGGTAACTGTAACCGTTTACAGGTTATGATATCTTTACGCCTTATAAATGCCTCAAATGTCAAAAATTATCAAGTTTATATTTAGTAATATATACTCGTATTACAGTAGTTGTAGTAGTTAATTCTCGTATTTACAGACGATTATTATTCTTGTTTGTAATTTTATCTTGAGAATTTTACTTCTATATATATATATATACACAGATCTTCAGAATGGTTACACCAATTTGACTAAACTTGTTCTTTTTTTGTTGTATTTCTAATTCTCAGATCTGAAAATGAAACTGTAAAAAAAATGAAAATATAAAATAGTGTACTATACTGGCTTTGCATGAATGTACTAATTGTTATTAGTACACTCGTACAAAGCCAGGGTAGGCAACTAGTATAAATCAAATCTCTCCTCAAACTGCTACTAGAATTATGGCACATTGAATTATGACCTGAAGTAATTAACTAACGCAATTAACGGATAAAAAACATCGTTTACATAAATTTTATACCCATATACCTATAAATTAATAACATATTTAAAGTGTTTATAATAAGATAGGTACTTTCCTTAAAAAGTTATTCTTAATAACAACCATTAGCTACCAAAATATGAGCGTGCAGCCGTGAGAGTCATGCATAAATCTATTTTTCACGAGTAATAAATCGTTAGTGCGGTAATCACAGACAGCACCCAGCATTTTAGGCGTAACGTTCCGATTAAGTTATTAAAGTAATTTACCATATACTGTTACTATACTGCTTTCATATATTATAAATCTACAGATAGAGAACAAAATACGATCAATTGTTGACGCGTTCACACAAAGCTCTATACAAAATGCTTGCACCAATTAAAGTGTCACTTACGGTATGAAATATTACTCTGTAAATCACGTAAGATTCACGGAGGAGAAATTATATAGGTATCAATATTAATGAGTAGTTTTTGTTCCGTCAATAGATATGTATATTGCGTATGACTCGTATAATGTAAATGGGTCTCATTCATTCATTTGAACAAGTAAATTGGACATGAATTATGTTATAAAAGGCTACTCGGTAGCGTGATAAATATATCTGCTTTATATGAATTATTTCTGCTTATACTAAGAAAAGATATGACTCTAAGGTACTCATTATTATACTTTATAACGTAAAGTATCATATCCTGACTAGTTTATGATATTGACGAACTTTTAATGTCAATAAATGTATTCAATATCTCGCATGATTTAAGAATGCTTTGGTGAATTTATGTAGATTTTTTTTATACAACTTAGAATGGTAAACAAGCTGACGGCCCACCTGATGGAAAGTGGTAACCGTCGCCTATAGACATGAGCAGTACCATGGATATAACAGAGTATACTGTTTCGCCTAGATAAATTATACATTACAATTTTATATATTTGATAATGTTCATATCAGCCTTTAACTGTCCACTGCTGAACATAAGCCTTATACATCCCCTTAGGGGGTTTTGCCAGTAGTTGCAACGCTTGGTAGGCGGATTGGTAACTGTAGTTAGGCTTCAGATATGTTTTAAGAAGGACGCTGCTGTCTATCCCTCGCCCTCTCTTAGTCTCCCTTTACGACAGCCGCGGGAAAGGAAGGATTGGCCTATTCTATGCCGGGACCACACGGTATACTTCCACGGTATATCACTACGGTATTAAACCACATAAATAATGTTATATGCTACTAAGAAACGTTGCTAAATTTAGAGAAATTCTAAGGTTTTTTCTGTAGAAATACTTGATTCAAACCAAAATTCAAATCTACTGTAAATTTCAAATTTCGAATTGTTAGAATTGGAGGAGTTAGGATTTGAAGTTTATGAAGCAACTAACAATTTCTCGAGTTTACTAAGACCGATTTATTGGTAGAAAATTTTAAATGACTTCGTGTGTTTCTGCTATGATGTTACAATATGTATGTAGTTGAATTTTATTTCAAAAAATAAGAAAGGCATTGTACTAAAGTTATGAGAAAAATCAACAAAAAACTATTTATTATTAATTCAATTAGGCATGTGTATTCAACACACGTAATGTAAATACTTTTTTTATATAGTTTTTTTTGAGCCAGATATCAATGTGGGCGTATTCTGAATACCTTACCAAAGTTTCACCATAATTTGATCAATAGTTTAGGAATGCATAGAGGACAAACATACAAATAATAATTTATATCTACGTAAGATAAAACATAGAAGTTTAATAGGTAATACATATAAATGTAATACAAATAAATCAAAGCAAGAAACAAACGGAC